TTGGTTGGAGGAATGGATAGATAGATGGATGGAGAGTTGGTTGGTTGGAGGGAGGGAGGAAGGGATGGATAGATGGAGAGTTGGTTGGTTGGTTGGTTGGAGGGAGGAAGAGATGATAGATGGATGGAGAGTTGGTTGGAGGGAGGGAGGAATGGATGGACAGAAGGATGGATAGTTGGTTGGTTGGAGGGAGGGATGGACAGATGGATGGATGGAGAGTTGGTTGGTTGGTTGGTTGGAGGGAGAGAGAGAGAGAATGAGGGGTGGATGGATGGAGAGTTGGTTAGTTGGAGGGAGGAAGGGATGGGTGGAGGTTGGGTGGTTGGGAGGTTGGGAGGGAGGGAGAGAGAGAGAGGGGTGGATGGATGGGTGGAGAGTTGGTTGGTTGGAGGGATGGAAGGAGGGAGGGAGGAATGGATGGAGAATTGGTTGGTTGGTTGGAGGGATGGGTGGAGAGTTGGTTGGTTAGAGGGGGGAGGGAGGAATGGATGGATGGATGGAGAGTTGGTTAGTTGGAGGAAATGAGGGAGGGAGGGATGGGTGGGTGAAGGTTGGTTGGTTGGAGCGAGGGAGGAAGGGATGGAGGGAGCGAGAGGTGAATAGATGGATGGGTGGAGAGTTGGAGGGAGGGACAGAAGGAGGGAGGGAGGAATGGATGGAGAATTGGTTGGTTGGTTGGAGGGATGGGTGGAAAGTTGGTTGGTTGGTTGGTTGATTGGACGGACGGATGGAGAGTTGGTTGGTTGGTTGGTTGGACGGACAGACAGAGGGAGGGATGTGCTTCCACAAGGGGGAGAAAAGGGGCACTTGGCTCTCCAACCAGTAAGTTGGAGCAGAAGTTTAAAAAGTGGTTAAGAAACTCAGAGACTGGATTCAGAGGCTCAAAGTTTCATGGCAGCCTCTGACACCCACCAAGACAGGTTCCCACTGACCAGCCACCTATGGCTGTTGGCTGGCAGATGCACCCTTGAGTTTCTCTGTCCAGAAGGGCCTTTTGTGCAAGTTCTGCTTTGCAGCACAATGCTTACCGGGCATATTAAAGATACTCGGACGCCGGTGGTGGCGATCTCGCTCTCTGGATCCAGTCGCAACTTCTCTTTGACTGCAGGGTTGGGGAAGGGGGGGGGATTGAGGGGTGTGGAAGAGGAAGAGAGAATCAGAACCAAGAAGCGGTGAGTGCTGAGGTTTGGCTGCCTCAATTCCCTCAAAGATCTAAGATGAGAGGGGTTTCCTTTTACAATTGGGACAATCCCAATCTTAGGCCCCCTGCAAGATTAATCTGACAAGGGGGCATTTGAGGCAGAAAACCTAGAGCCCATCCCTTCAGTCAGCTTCTGTTGCAAGTAGTCCTCAATTTCGAAGTTACAACAGCACTGAAAAAAGACACTTTACATTTTAATGTGTGCCCGTGTGTTGGCAGAAAAAAGCGACAATAAAGGCTCCTTATTGCTCTTATCTTATCTTATCATCTTATCTTATCTTCTCATCTCATCACCATTTTTCAATTTATGACCCTTATAGCAGGGCTTTTCAACCTTTTCACCCATTGTACCACTTTTAGGATATGGCAACATCCGAGTACCACCAGTCGCCTAGCAAGG